CGTTAAGTGTGTGGCTTACTTGGACTTTGAAGGCTGTTATGTTAACCCTGCAGCCCCTGCAGAGCCCTGATGGACATACCTCTCCCCATCCCGTGCCTGCACAGCTGCCCTTTGTTCTCCTACTTGCTCGGCCCAGTGAAGCTCAGCTGAGCTTTGTCTTGCTCGCTTCCTCCCCTCTCAGGGACTGGGCTGGCTGCCTCTTCAAGGCCCTGCCTGAATAAGCAGCTCTTTCCTCTCTTCCTGGTACAGGACTCATTACCAGAGAAGCTGGCTGTGCATGAGAAGAATGTCCGCGAGTTTGATGCCTTTGTGGAAACCCTGCAGTAAAAGTATCCTCGAGTCCCAGCAGCATCCCCCTTTTTGTGGCCCCAGGGGACAGGCAGCCTCCCATGCATCAGCTGCTCCCACACCTCATCCTGCTCCGAGCCAGGTGGAAGGGAGGGTGGCTTCTCCCATGGGGACCCAGAACTCCCTACTTGTGGACTCCTGGAGCCTCCGTGGCAGCAGTCAAGCCCAGTGCCCAGTTGGAGAAGACTCACGCTCTGGCCTTGGAAATGGGAAGACCCTTCATACAAAAGAGCCCTCAGCAGGGCCATCTGTGTGCCCCACCCATCACCAACTGCTTCCCAAGGGCAGCATCCTGTGCCTCCTGCCTGGGCCTGCCTTGCAGCTGGCCCCTTCCCTGCCTGCTGTCACCGTCCACTATTTGACATTTCAGCTGGTGGCCAAGAGATTGGTGTCGAGGCAGAAAGAGGAAGGAGACAGTACCAAGAGGAGAAAGAAGGAGTCCCTTGGCTCTTTATTGTCCCCTTTACTTCCTGCCATCTTCTTCCCCTCTTCCTTCCTCTCTGCCCCCATGCCTGTACTTCTGGCAATATGACGGGCCTGTCTGCCCAAGATGAGAACTCCAAAACTAGCCACTCCCACCCCTGAAGGTTGGGAGGGTCTGAGCAGCCCTGGTGGCTGCCCATGCTCAGGTCCTCAGCTACATGGGAAATAAAAATTGAACCCTGAATCTCTAGGATTCTGTCACTTGGAGTCATAGCAAAGGTTCTCTTCCTCTCGTCCCCACATTGCTGCTCCTTGGTTATAGAACACAGTAAATATTTATTACTTTCAGAGAAACCAGATATTTTATAAAGAAAATATGTTTGAGGTGAGTTGTTTTTCACTTGGAGAAGGTGGAGGGCTCTTCCTGGGACGGAGACCTCCTCTGGAGGTTCTTGAGAATCCGGGCTGCTGCTGCTGCAAGGATCTACCTTCCCACCATACAGACTGCGAGATCCAAGGAGAGGGCTTGACTGGGAGCAAAGTCAGCTCCCAGCATGGCTGCACTGAAACTGACTACAGGCTTTACCTTGGACAGCTGAGTATTCCTGGTGAGGGCCTTACATCTCTTGAGAGCTTCTGCAGCGTGACTGACTGTATTCTGGCAGCCCAGGAGGTCTAAATGTGATGGCCACATGGAGTGCTTAGGGGATGTTGTGTGTGTCCCCTGACTCCTGGTGTACTTGTTCCTGGTCCTTGGGGCTGGACTGTGGAGCTTTTCCTCCTCCTGCCTGGGGCTAGCTACCACCTCCCTCTAATCCCAGGGTCTGTACACTGCCCTGGGGTTTACCAGCTGGATTGGCTCCTAGTTGAGAAACCAAAGCTGGGCGTATGATTGACTTAACCCTTCAGGTATTGTTATTTGAGTAAGTCAAGTGCCTAGCCTCACCCACCTGCCATCTGTCCTCTCCCATCCTTGCTGGTAGTCCTGGCTGAGGAGATCTAGGCTTACTCCATTTCTCCTGGCCCACCTGGGGCTCTCACTGGCAGCAGCTATGCTTGAATGGAGCAGGTGGCTCTCAACTGCTTGTTAGTAAACTGCACGTGACACTGTTTCCACCTACAAGGCTGACCTCTGAGGATTGGAGCAGGCTCTGGAGGAGACCTGAGCTCTGCCTGCTGCTGCTGCCACAGAGAACTCGTTCTCAGTGGCAGCAGCCAACTGGCCCTGCTGTCTTTGGGCCAGAGCACATGCATGGCCTGCTGAACCCAGGCCCAGGTTTATCCCAAAGGCCCTTGGTAAGTTATTGATGCCCCCATATTTTAGCCACTGGCCTCTTTCCAAGGCGTCGTATGGAAAGGCCTGCTAGCCATTGTCCCAGGCAGCTCTCTCTGGCCTCTGCAGGCGGCAGCAGCCTTTCACCAGAGCTCCATCCGTGAAGAGGCCAGGGAGGCGCAGCCCTGACTGAGCTGAGCCTGGGGGAACCAAAGCAACTGTTAAGGGCAGCCCTTGCCCCTTAGCCCCACTATAAAACGTATGAGCCCTAGACTGACTCCTGCAGCACCCCCCGGGACAGGGTGGGACCAGCTGTCTGTCTCCAGGTGGTAGAGTCCTTCCTCTTCCTCCAACCTCCTTTGTTTGGAAATACTGAGCTACACTTCAAAATGTATTCAAGAGATTTCCAATAAATTTTTTTCTGTACTTTACAGCCTCCTGTCTTGCAAGTTGTCTGAAGACCTCATAACTCCTTCCTCCGCCCCAGTGCAGGTCTGGGAAAGGGGAGAGTGGTGCGTTGTGAAGCACGGAAAGACCTGTGTCCAGCAAGCCTGTTTAGAGTGGATGTGGCCACTTAGAGGCTGTGCACCCTGGGGTTTCCTGGTCAGGAAACTTCTAGAATTTCACTTTCCCTGTTCCCCTGTCAGCAGCTTGTATTTGAATATTCAGTTGGATAATTGGTATTTTATACCCCCATAGTAAAATCTCCATAAAATGTAGGCCACTGTCATCAGCTCTTTATTGCCTCTTATGTAACAGAACTCATCTTGGAGGAATGGTTCAGAGGGAAAACAACAGTCCCCGGGATAGGGAGTGCAGGGCTCCGAAAGCCATTGGAGTCGGGGAGCCTGAGCAACCAGAGAGAGGGAAGCAGCAGGAAGTTAAAGGCCCATGCAAGTTTGTTAGCTGCCTTGATTTGACCAGCGCTCTTGCCAGGGACCTAGGGTGGTCCTTGAGCCAGAAGAGTAGAAGAGCCCTATGGGGGTTACATCCTGTCTGGCCCCTGGGGGCTGGGGCTGCCAGCCTCTCCATCTGGCCAGGGCCAGCCCTGCCTCCTAGTTTGTGCCCATAGTAGGAGGAGGGAGCTGAAGGTGGAGCCAACATCCCAGAGGCAGAGATGGTTCTAGAGGCAAAAGAACGGACAGAAACGGGACAGCTGGTGTCGGATGCTGTCCCACCCACCTTCAGGCTGAAGCCAGGTCCAGGATTAAAAAGGGCTGGTTAGAAAATTCTAAATCCAGCCCATTCCTGGAGCTGAGAGCTCCTGCTTATTAGTAAACCAGATGACACTGACCATGTGGCCAACCAGGACAATTGCCGGATGTTTGGGTCAGAAGTGATGGAAAGGCTGTTCCCAGTGTTCCCCTTCAACCAGGAACCCCCAATAACAATGTACTCAGTTTCCCCATGCCCAGCAATGGTGTCCTACCTCTTTAAAGGATCTCCCTGCACTCCACCCCTGGAAGCCAGCATTGCTAAGGCCTTGGTAAATTGGCATTTGAGTCACTCAGCAGAGGACCTGCCAGGAGCCCAACCCAAGTAAACAGTTTGTTCACTGCTGTTTCCCTGGGTCACTGCCTCTCTGTTCCAGTTGTCCAGCTCTAGCTGAGCAGATCCAGAGAGAGAGGAGGCCCCTAGTGCCTGGTGGAAGGCCACCATCTTGCAATGGGACTTGCCTCCTGGGGCTCAGGCCTAATGTTTGTAACCAGCATCTTAACACTGCCTGATCCCCCAGCTCTGGCCCTGCTCTGCAAACCCAGGCAAGCAAGGAGGAGAAAAACCAGGCCCAGCTGGGGCCACTTAGAACCTCCTGATTGCCATTAGCAAGCAAGCAGCAAACACCTGGAACTTGACCACTGTGGGAAATGAAATTCTGTCCTACCCTCCCACTGACAAACCTTTAAAAAAAAATTGTGGTAGAATAACCATCTTGACCTTTAAAGCAAAGCAAAACCTGCTCAAGAGAGGATAGGGGAACTGGATTGTCACAGCCTCCGTGTGAGTAGGTGGCAGATGGAAATGGCCTGACCTCAGGCTAAGGGGTGGCGTGGAAGGGAGGGCTCAGGGGCTGAGGGACCCTCTCCCAGCTGCTGCACCATTCACGCATGACCACTGCACACTTGTGGTGTTAGCTGCTGTCTACGTTTTTAATTTTTGAGATAGGGTCTCCCTTTGTCACCTAGGCTGGAGTGCATTGGTGCAATCACAGCTCACTGCAGCCTTGACCTCCAGGGCTCAAGCAATCCTCCCACCTCAGCCTCCTTAGTAACTAACTGGGACCACAGGCATGTGCCATCATGCTTGGCTAATATTTTTTAGGTTTTGTAGAGACAGGATCTTAATATGTGAGATCTATGTCCAGGCTGGTCTTGAACTCCTGGGCTTAAGTGATCCTCCTGTCTCTGCCTCCCAAAGCAGTGGGATTACAGGTGTGAGCCACATGCCTGGGTTGTCTGCATGATTTCTGATCCTCAGAGAAACTGTCTTCTGATGAAGCAGCAGTCACATTGTAAGCCAGGGGATTATTGGTGAGACCTGGTACATGAGGGAATGAGGACTCTAAATCTCATGTGACCCCAGATCCCACACCATCGTCCACCACAGTCCACACTTTTCATCCCCCTACTTGCCTTAGATAAATCTAAGTTCCCTTCAAACTTCTGGTACCTTCCAACTGGGAGACAGGAGAAGTCCTGGTCATAGGATACAATACATGGTGGCCAGCTGGAATACTGGGGGTAGAAACAAGGAAAGGTTGCTGTGGACACCTCCACGTCTAGAAGCTGGTCAGGAAGCTGCCCTCATCACCACTCCAGTGCACAAGATGAGGAAGCGACAGATGGACTGGGGAGGGGACCTCCTGAGGCCCCATCTGTTCGTCTTCCTCTACCGCACCACACTTCCCATCTAGTTCCCAACTTCCACACCCCACTCACTTCCCCAACATCCAGATGGGCAGTTTTGCATCTCCATTTTTATTGAAATACAAAAAGTGCAAATGGTGAAATACATGATTTGTGCCAAGGAAGTCATTAAGTGTGAATGTGAACACTGGATTCACAGTACAAGCACCCCTTCCCCGGGGTACAGACCAGTGGAGGCATGAGAAAGACCAAATAGATCCAAAAGGCTCCCCAGTGAATGGGGCTGTGAGTGATACTTGATACACAAAGGAGGGCAGGCAGCAGAGCAGCGCAGGCCCAGGCTAGAGACCAAGGGACTGACAGCCCAAGCCCCCAGTGGCGGGGGTGGGGATATTCACTGCTGATGGCTTTGGGAGAGCCCAGCGAAGTGACACCCAGGCCCAGCCTGGCTTGCAGACGGGGCTGGGCTGGCTAGTGAGGATCCCCACAGTACAGGCTCTGGAATTGTCCTGCCTGGCCAATGTCATGGGGCAGGGTCACTACAGGTATTTCCCTCTACTCCCCAAGGACAAAGCTGCAGGAAGAGGGGTCCCCAGAGTTCGTCAAAAAGGAGTGTAATTTTAGGAGACAGCGGGAGAGATCAGCCATCACTGGGGTCGAATTGGTGTCGAAGTTCCTTGAAAGACAGCAGGGCCCTAGAGCCCCATTAATCCCCTGGGGAAACTGCTAGAACCCACCGATCTGGGCTGACCTATCAGCACAATCTTTGCCCTCCTATGGGCATTCAGCCTCTACCCCAGCCCCTTTAAGGGTACCCCAGCTGGAGGAAGGAGCCAAACAGATCCTGAAGCACTGAGTCACCTCTGGCCGGGACAGGCCAGTGTGACTCCACAACAGGCAGGTCCACAAGAACCTGAAGGCTGAGGATCTGCCTGTGTGGGAAAGGCGGCCAGGCAGGGAGAGGCTGACCCTGCCAGTCACTGATCCCACCACACACTCAGAGGCAGGGAGGGAGATTTCAAATGGATGCTGGGACCCTGAGCTCTGTCATCCAAGCTACCATTCCCAGCAGAACCAGGGGGTTGGGACACCCCAGGGGCATTATCACTTGGGAAAGGCTGACCCAGGATTCATGGAAGAGGAGGCAGAAAGCAGACAGGCTCCAGCCCTGTCACTCCTCAGCAGGGGAAATACCCCAGGCTGAACTGCTGGGGGCAGCATAGGAGCAGGGGTGCTTGCACTCCTTCACGCAGTGGGACTTAGCAAAGCAGGGCAAAGCACGGCAGCCAACCAGACAGGGAGGCGCCTCAGCGTGGGGCAGTGGCCACACCAAGGAGCTCAGCTGCTCATTCCCAGCAATCAGGAGGGGAGGACCGGCCCCTGCTACCAGCCCAGCCGGCAGTGATTTGATTCATCCACAGTTGCCAGGGAAAAAGAGGCAGGAAAAAGCAGGAAAGGGGTTACTGGGGCTCAGTCCTTCTCCAGCTAGAAGAGCCAAGCCCAGCTCTGGAAAGCCCAGGAAAAGCCGGGTGTCCAGAGAGGCAGTGAGAAGTATAAGGCAAAGAAAAACATCTTCTGGTAACAGCAAGGCCGCCAGGGCCGTGAGGTGGGCTGGACAGAGGTGGGGAAGCGCATGCCTGATGGGCGGCTCCAGCATCTCTCTCCAGGGGGCTTCATGGCCCCTGATGGCAGGAGGAAGAGTCCAAACCCAGGCTAGCAGAGAAGGGGCTGGTGGGGCAGGGGCCGGGCTTAGAGCCCCCTGGGGTCCGGGCTAGGGAACAGCTCCCCTTGATGATCCAGAAGGAACTTGGTAAAGGTGTTGATGGGATTAATGGCCTTGAGGGTGATGGCCGCATCCTTGGCCCACAGCAGGTTAGGGCCGAAGACAACAGCCAGGTTAGTGTTGGTCATCTTGTTCTGGTCACTGTGTGCAGAAATCTGGGGAGGGAATCGGGGGCTGCAGCAGAGAGCCACAGACTCTGCTTCCCACTCCCAGCAACCCCGACCAAGGCACAGAGGCAGCAGCTCCTCCTTCCCCTCTCTTCACCCCAGAGGCCAAGTCCAAGGTCTCACCTGCACCAGGAAAGCAGTCAGGAAATGAAGCACCCGGTAGTTCTCCTCGGGCAGCGTCTGGAGGACCTGCAGTGTCACTGCCACCCTCTGGCTCTCATCTATGTCTAGAGAAAAGGGGTCCTGGGTTACAGGGGCCCTGGGCTGGGCTGGTTCAGAAAGCCCTGATGCATGCTAGAGGAGAGACCCCCGCCCAGCTGTCCTCCTGGGAGGCACCTAGGCCTGCCAGCCCACAGCATGCCCGCCCCAAGTCCAGTCTCAGAAGAGAGGGGGACTCACTGAGGAAGCCCACCACGTGGGGGTAGAGGTCAAAGGTGAGCAGGGGCTCAGGAAGCTCCCGGAGGAAGGTCTTAAGGATGACTGCTGGCAGGTGCAGCTCGTTGTACTGGTTGAAGTCCACAGGCAGCCCTGGGGTGGGGGCAGCATGAGAGGAGCTCGGCGCAGCCTGAAGGGCAGCACCCATCTGGAGACAACGCAGGCCCCACTGCCCGATCGCCCTTGGACCCTGCATGGGCCCCTCCTCCCAGGGGCGCCCTCTGGCACCTGCCTCCCCTCTTCTTCGGTGACCAGAGAATGCAGGTTCTGGCCATCTGGGTGGAGCAGGGCCCAGCACACCCCACCGTTATTCCTCGCTTCTGAATGTGCCTGCACCCAGGACTCGGGAGCTGGACCGATGAGACAGCAGGCCTGGCAGAAGTGGGACTTATGTGACACCAAGTGCTATGGAAACCTCTAGCAGGAAGAGACTCTGAGACCCTTGTTTACAGGGCAGCAGAGGGCAGAGAAGCCCCTACCAGTCACACGCGTGGCCCTGCTGCAGCCCTGGGCCGCTCACCCATGTTGTACTTCTGCTGGACTTCCCGGACCACTTGGGTGTTGGCTGACCTCCGGAAGATGCCCTCGGTGGTGAGAGCTGGGAAACAGTAGGGCCTGGTGAGCCTTGGAGCGCTGGGCACTAGCCGGATTCCCTGCCCCTGCTCTGTCTTGGAGTTCTAGGCAGGGCTGGGTGGGGGGCATTAAGGCTTGCAGGACCTCCCTCTGCCCTGCCTGGCAGCTTCTCCAGCTTTCCAACGGGAGCTGGCAGGCCTGGCACTCACCATGGGCCTGTAAGTAGGCCACAGTCTCCCTGAGCACGATGGGAATGGGCTCCTGCTCTGGGTTCTTCTCCTGGAGGCTGCGAGAACAAGGCCAGTGGGCGGGCCTGCAGCCCTTCCCGCCCCCCCTCAACCCCGCTCCGCCCCCGAGGCCCAGACACCTTTCATACTCACTGCTGCAGCGACACCCCAAACTGCTGGTTGGGCAGCGGGGGCCGTGGGGGCATGGGCTTGGGGGCTGTCGCAGGGCTTTTCTGTGTGGATTTGAGGAAGTCGTCATACCTGCAGGAGCAGAGAGGTGGATCAGGCCCTGCCTGGCTCTGGAGTTGCTCCACCAATTCAATCAAGCATTGACTGTGCTGGGTCAGGAGGATCGTCTCAGGCGATCTCCCTAACAACTCCACTTTCCACAGCAGAAAACAAAGACCCGGGAGAGGTCAGGACACAGTCTGGCTCTGCCTTAGCCCCACGAGGTCTCTGAATCAGGACGGGTATCCTCGTTACTCTGGCTCGGCAAGCCCCCGGCCGCCACGCCCGCCACACCCGCCACGCCCGCCTCACTTGAGCACTTGGCGAGGGATCCCCAGCTGCTCCAGCTTCACGTGCTCGCTCAGCTCACTCAGGTAATTCACGTAGAAGATTTTCTGCCCAAACTTGAAGCTGTTGGTAGAGGAAAGGGCCTGGGTTGGTAGTCCCTGCTTCTGGTGGCCTCCACTCTGCCCCTAACACCCACCCAGTTCAGACCCAGGCCCAGCCGCACCTGGTGGTCCCCAGGCTGCCCGGCCTCGGGCTTCAGAGTTCTAGGCAAGCCGGGACCACTGGCCCTACTCTGCCCGCAGCCGCTCACCTGATGATGGGTTTGAAGAGGATGAGCAGAGTTTTGATGAACATGGTCGGGTGCACGATGTACAGGGCCTTGATGTTCTTCTTATACCTGCAGAGGCAGAAGGGGCAACTCAGGAGCAGGCGTGGTGGGAGAGGCGCTGCGCTAGGGTCCCAGGGCTACTTTTTTTTTTTTTTTTTGAGACAGAGTCTCGCTCTGTCGCCCAGGCTGGAGTGCAGTGGCACCATCTCAGCTCACTGCAACCTCCACTTCCTGGGTTCAAGCGATTCTCATGCCTCAGCCTCCCGAGTAGCTGGGATTATGGGCACCCACGACCACACCCAGATAATTTCTGAATTTTTAGTAGAGATGGGGGTTTCACCATGTTAGCCAGGCTGGTCTCGAATTCCTGACCTCAAGTGATCTGCCCGCCTCAGTCTCCCAAAGTGGTGGGATTACAGGCGTGAGCCCCCTCGCCCAGCCTCAGTGCATACTTTCTGATTTGAACACGCACGGCCAGCACGCCAGGTAAATAAGGGCCATGGCTATCGCATTTTACAGATTAGAAAACAGGAGGCTCAGAGAGGTTAAGTAAAACAAAGAGGTCAGAGTGCGAAAAAGTGGAGAAACTGGGCTCTAAGGCCAGGGTGATCTGACTGCAGATTTTTTTCATCTACATAGAAGGCAGCACCTGCTACCCCCTGCCCTGGAATAAGCTCCTGCCCAAGTGGAGGACAGCCTGGAAGCTGGCAGAGCTGCTGCCTCTGGATCCGCCTGCGCAAGCCCCATGCCCCAACCCACTTTCGGTCAAACTCCCGGTAGGCATCACGGAGCCAGCTGAGGGAGGGCTTGTTGTCACTGGTCAGACCGTGGTGTAGATACAGCAGTGTGTAGTCGCTCTCCACGTACTGGTCCAGGGTGTGCTTCAGGTACCTTCCAGAGAAAAGCCCTGTTCAGGCCCACCCTGTGCGCAGGCGTGGCCCCTCAAAGATAGAAAGCAGCCCCGGGAATCTCCCACCATGTCACAGCCCCTTCCCCACGGGCCCTCCCCTAGCAGGGTCTGTTCTGGCTCGTAATCAGTCAGGTTCCTGTGGAGGAGACCCAGGGTAGTGGTGAGTGGAGGAACAACAACAATAATAACAGCTCTCGGTCAGGCGCAGTGGCTCATGCCTATAATCCCAGCACTTTGCAAGGCTGAGGTGGGTGGATCACCTGAGGTCAGAAGTTCGAGACCAGCCATGGCCAATGTGGTGAAACCCCATCTCTACTAAAAATGCAAAAATTAGCTGAGCATGGTGATGCATGCCTGTAATCCCAGCTACTTGGGTGGCTGAGGCAGAAGAATCGCTTGAACCCGGGAGGCAGAGGTTGCAGTGAGCTGAGACAGTACCACTGCTCTCCAGCCTGGGCAACAAGAGCAAAACTCTGTCTCAATAACAATAATAATAATAACAGTTCTCATTCTTGAGCACAAACTAGATGTCAGGAGACTGGACCCTAACCCAGGCCCTCCGAGGCCTGCAGCGAGAATGGGAATGATGTTTGCCTGATCAGGGATTTCCCTGAACCAGTAATAATGACGCACCACCATTTCTCAGTATTAAGCTTTTAGTGTCTGCCAAGCACTTTGCATACATTAGCTCATCCCTTGCTCATAACTGAGGCTGGTATAATCTCCATCTTACAAATGAAGGCAACAACCAGAGAGGTCAAGTGCTGATCCAAGGTGACACAGTTTGTGGTGGATCCTGGAAGTAAAGTGTCTAACTCCAAAGCCTGCTTTTTTTTTTTTTTTTTTTTTTTTTTTTGTAAACAGGGTCTTACTGTCACCCAGGTTGGAGCACAGTGGCACAATCACAGTTTACTGTAGCCTTGACCTCCCAGGATCACGCTATCCTCCTGCCTCAGGCTACTGAGTAGCAGGAACCACAGGTGTGAGCCACCACACCCAGCTCATTTTTTTATTTTTCATTTTGTAGAGACGGGGTCTCACTCTGTTGCCCAGGCTTGTCTTGAGTTCCTGGCCTCAAGCAATCCTCCCACCTTGGCCTCCCAAAGTGCTGGGGGATTACAGGCATGAGTCATTGCACCCAGCACAAAGCCCACTTTCTTGACCACAGGACCGCTCTGCCTTTTACACATGAACTCCAGCGCCGGGGGTAAAACACTGTGCCCTTGAGAGGGGATAGGGTGGCCAGAGAGTCACCTGCTCCAGTCACTGGGCCTTTAGTGGACCAAAGATCCCCAACTCTGGTTCCCTATGCGCATAACACACTATCTACCAGCTCAGCACAGACATACACACCTGGTGTTGAGCACACTGAGAAGTATGGATGGAATGAATGGGAACTGGGGAAAGGAAGGGGAGTATATGCAAAGGCCTTTTTCTAGTTGATCAAACAGCTCCTAGGCTCCCCCAGTGACATGCAGGCTGGGAGGCTGGGCAGGCAGAATGCTAAGGACTTCCAAGGGGAGGCAGGGAAGGAGAGCAGCCTGGGGAAGTGGCCAGAGCTTGGCCTAACCTAGAGAGAGTATGCTCAAGACTAGCCCGTGGATGCCAGGCTAGGCCAGCACAGGCGGGTGTGGGGTGGCTGATGCTGTGATCCCCAGCATGTGGCCATTTACCCCTTTCCCACGCTAAGCACTGCAGTTTACAAAAAGCTGTCCCATACACTGGGCATGATGGCTCGTGCCTGTAATCCCAACGCTTTGGGAGGCCAAGGCGGGTGGAACACGAAGTCAGGAGTTCCAGACCAGCCTGGTCAACATAGTGAAACCCCATTTCTACTAAAAATACAAAAATTAGTGGGGTGTGGTAGCACATGCCTGTAGTCCCCAGCTAACAGGAGGCTGAGATAGGAGAATCACTTGAACCTGGGAGGCAGAGGTTGCAGTGAGTCAAGACCACGCCATTGCACTCCAGCCTGGGTGACAGAGTGAGATTTCATCTCAAAAAAAAAAAAAAAAAAAAAAAAGCTGTCCCATCAACAGATTGCATTTTCCAACTACAAAAATAGCAAAGATTGTAGTGAAAACAAACATTCTCATCCACTGATGGAGGTTATGGCCTTTTGTAGGAAAATAAAGTGATGTTTATCAGAAGCTATAAAAGGTTCATACTCTCTGATCCTGTAAAAATATGTCTAGGAGTTTGTCCTAAGGAAATAATCTGAGATGAACAGAAACATTTTTGTAAAAAGCTGTTCTTCGTGACCCATTTTATGATGGGGAAAAAAAATCTAGTGGCAAGCTAACTGCAACAGCAGGGAATTGGTTAAATCAATCATGTGACAACCATAAATAGAACAGCTCACAGGACGTTTCTGCAGACAGAATGAATCTGTGAAGTCAGATGTCAGAACAGCGGTTATGCCCTTTGTGGGGTGTAAGTGACACAGTTGTGTTCGGTTTTTGAAAATTCATCACACAGTACACTTATAATTTGTTCACTCTTATGTCAGCATATTAGATGTCAATAGAATGTTTTTTAGATGATATCTTTGAAGAATGTTTGATGCTCAGAAAAAAATGTTATGTAAGATACAAAACTGGGCTGGGTGTGGTGGCTCACGCCTGTAATCCCAGCACTTTGCAGGGCCAAGGCAGGCAGATCATCTGAGGTTGGGAGTTTGAGACCAACCTGACCAACATGGAGAAACCCTGTCTCTACTAAAAATACAAAAATTAGCTGAGGGTAGTGGTGCAGGCCTGTAATCCCAGCTACTCAGGAGGCCGAGGCACGAGAATTGCTTGAACCCAGGTTGTGGTGAGCCAAGATCATGCCATTGCACTCCAGCCTGGGAAGTAAGAGTGAGATGCCGTCCCACCAAAAAATTTTTTTTCATGTAGTCACTTCCTATTTTTCTATAATGTTTATGGAACTCTATAATGTTTTGTGTGTGTGTGTGTGTGTGTGTGTATATATATATATATATATATTTTTTTTTTTTTTTTTTTTTAGACAGAGTCTCCTTCTGTCGCCCAGGCTGGACTACAGTGGCATGATCTCGGCTTACTGCAACCTCTGCTTCCCAGGTTCAAGTGATTCCCCTGCCTTAGCCCCCTGAGTAGCTGGGATTACAGGTGCAGACCACCATGCCTGGCTAATGTTTGCATTTTTAGTAGAGACAGGGTTTCATCATGTTGGTCAGGTTGGTCTTGAACTCCTGACATAGTGATCCATCTGCCTCGGCCTCCCAAAATACTAGGATTACAGGCATGAGCCACTGCGCCCGGCCACAAGTCTCATTTTTACAAAGCTTGAAGAAGACCTGCCCGAAAGCACAAGGTACAGAGCTGAAGTTTAATGTGTCTTTTGAATTTGACTCCAAGCTTCAGGCATTTTCTGTTTCAACACCCCAAATCTGAGTGGATAGCTGGGAAGAGATAATCTACTGAAAACGGGACAAAGTGCTCCATGATGGAAGCACCTAGCTGCCCTCAGCAGGGACTGTGACCAGGCCAGGAAGTGACAGAGGACAAGCATCAGATGACATCGAGGACTTCCTGAAGCCAAGGACGCCTAGGGGTGGGTGTGGCCTCCCTCAGTAAGCTGCCTCCTAAAACTGGGTGCTTTCCACCCCCGTCCACTGACTTCCTCCCACTTTACTTTTTATCTGACCAGAAGGCTGTCACCTGGTCCATCAGACACAGAAAGAACTAGAGAAAAGGCCATGTGCCTCCACCAGCCTCAGGCCAACCTCTTACTCATTCTGGCTGGGCCATGTGGCGGGCTTAACAAGGCTCTGCCTGCCTTGTCTGAGGAGCAGTGGGAAGAGGGTTCAGAAGGCCGGAGAGAAAGAACTCCTAGATGATGCTGGAAGACTCAGCCTGTGGCCCAGACTTGCCCAGGACTGGCTAAGACTCCAAATTCAGGCTCTTCCCCTTCTGCTGAGGCCCTCTGGGTCTATCCTGAGCCCCTACTTCCTCCTGCTCACACGCAACCATTCAGGATCTCACAGAGCTCAGGATCTCTCGGAGCTGCCTGGGACAGTGCCAGAATTTTACATTTCAGAGAGTGCTTTAAACTGGTCAAGAAAGAAGTGCATCTTTCTAAAAATTTGCTGAGAGATAAAAAGAAAGAAGGGCAAGATGGTCTCACTCTACTACACACCCTGAGGACAGCAGCAGGAGGTGAGTGTGCTTGCCTGTGGGCCCAGAGCTGGCACAACTATGAACAGGTCTGTCAAGCCACTGCATTCAACCAGCCTTCAGACATGAATCAGGATGTGTCTGGACCAGCCAGAGCTGTTACCGATGTTTAGCTCACAGAACCCACATAGGTACAGAAACCACTGACACCAAAGGCACAAAATAACACAACACTAATTATTCCTAGAAATGATAAACACTGCAACCATCTCAGAAGCACCAGAGGATTCTTCTTTTTTTTTGAGGCAGGTTCGCCCTCTGTTGTCAGGCTGCAGGCTGGAGTGCAGTGGCGTGATTTCAGCTCACCGCAACCTGTGCCTCCTGTGTTCAAGTGATTCTTCTGCCTCAGCCTCCTGAGTAGCTGAGACTACCGGCGCCCACCACCACGCCCGTCTAATTTTTGTATTTTTAGTAGAGACAGGGTTTCACCACATTGGCCAGGATGGTCTCGATCTATTATTGACCTTGTGATCCGCCAACCTCGGCCTCCCAAAGTGCTGGGATTGCAGGTGTTAAGCCACTGTGCCTGGCCAGCACCAGAGGATTCTAATGGTCAATCCTCACACTTGGACAAAAGTCCTTCCTTTTCACGTGCTGTTTCTCACTCCTATAAAGAAAGACTTGTTAAATCTAGTTCATTCTCCATTTAATAATTATATGCTATTTCTATATTTTCATTCTTCTATCACCTGTCTTGCCTTTTTCATTATTTTATTATGAAACTTGTGTAAATACAATTTTGTTTCTGTACTTTTTTGGTATAACATAAATCTGTGAACTTGAAATTTGAATTTTGTGTTAGAGATTTTTTTGTTGTTTGTTTAGTCTTGTCTCAGATTTTATTATGTAAATCTCATTATTCAAAGTTGCCTAAATCCATTTGGAAATCTTTAAAAAAAAATTGGGGATTCTTAAAGTGGAATTTATTGGCTTTTCTGATCAGTTTTGTTTGGACCAAAAATCAGTATTGTACAAAGTATTAAGCATATATTTTTATATTTACTAAAATGGACTGTGGTGACTTTGGATAATAAGGAAAAGTTTAATATTAAAGCCATGTTTATTACAGTATAATTAATTAACATATTAAACCATGGGATAAATGTCATCAATAAAAAATTATGACATAAAAAAAAAGTCTCCCTTTTCAAAGGAGAGGAAAACGAGGCTTAAAGACGCTTACCAAGGTCACCCAGTTTCAATAACTAGAAACTTGGTCTGACTCCTCGTCCAGTGCTCTCCCTAAATATAAACCAGCTCTTTCATGAGAAGAGGGGAGGCATTAAGGCAGGTGGCCTAGTACTCCCCGGCAGGGAGGGACAGTGAATAACTTGACATTAGGCTACACTGGGGATCTGGGCAGAGCCCTAACACACTCCCCCGCAGGTACTCACCCCAGGAGCTTGCTGTGGTCCAGCTGGTGGCTGGGGGGCATGCGACAGGCACTGAACACAATGATCTTCCGCCCATACTTGTCATCTCCTAGGTGTGGAGAAAGATGGAGCGCAGTGGGTTGAGGGGGAACCAAAAGAAGTGGGGTGAAGAACTTAAAGGGGCCAGGCCCACGGATCTGAACCAGTTAGCACAGGGGCCAGGGTGCCCATGCAGACACACCTCCAGGCAGTCTCCTGCACTCAAGCGTGTGCCACTGAAGAGGAGGACAACTTGCTTTCAGGGCTACTGAGCTGGGATATTTAAAAAAAAAAAAAAAAAAAAATCATGGCTGGGCGCGGTGGCTCAAGCCTGTCATCCCAGCACTTTGGGAGGCCGAGGCAGGTGGATCACGAGGTCAAGAGATCGAGACCATCCTGGTCAACATGGTGAAACCCCGTCTCTACTAAAAATACAAAAAAATTAGCTGGGCATGGTGGCGTGTGCCTGTAATCCCAGCTACTCGGGAGGCTGAGGCAGGAGAATTGCTTGAACCCAGGAGGCGGAGGTTGCGGTGAGCCAAGATCGCTCCATTGCACTCCAGCCTGGGTAACAAGAGTGAAACTCTGTCTAAAAAAAAAAAAGTCCACACTTTTCCAGCCAGGCTCGGTGGCTCAGGCTTGTAATCTTAGCACTTTTGGGAGGCTGAGGCAGGTGGATCACAAGGTCAGGAATTCGAGACCAGCCTGGCCAACACAGTGAAACCCTGTCTCTACTAAAAATACAAAAATTAGCCAGGTGTGGTGGCAGGCCACTGTAATCCCAGCTACTCGGGAGGCTGAGGCAGAAGAATCACTTGAGCCCTGGAGGTGGAGGTTGCAGGGAGCCAAGATCATGCCACTGCACTCCAGCCTGAGTGACACAGCAAGACTCCGTCTTGGAAAAAGAAAAAAAAAGCACCCCCACTGAGCAGCATGTATTTGGAAAGCCTCTTGAAGTTACCTTCTCAGCATGTTTGAGGCCACTGAGGAATTAGTCTGATTACTTAACAGTCATGTCTCATTTCTGACCACCGACAATTACTTTCTGATTTTATTACTAGAATTTTTTTAAAGAGATGGGGGTCTCACTGTGTTGCCCAGGCTGTTCTTGAACTCCTGGCTTTAGGTGATCCTCCTACCTCAGCTTCCTAAGTAGCTGAGACTACAGGTGTACACCACTGCACCCAGCTTATTACTAGAATTATCAACCTAACTGGCTCTCATTGATTTCTGTAGGTTTCTTTTTCTTTCTTTTTTTTTTTTTTTTGAGACAGAATTTTGCTCTTGCTGCCCAGGCTGGAGTGTAATGGTTCGATCCTAGCTCACCACAACCTCCGCCTCCCGGGTTCAAGTGATTCTCCTGCCTCTGCCTCCTGAGTAGCTGGGATTATAGGCATGCGCCACCACCCCTAGCTAATTTTGTATTTTTAGTAGAGACGGCGTTTCTCCATGTTGGTCAGGCTGGTCTCAAACTCCTGACCTCAGGTAATCCACCTGCCAGGGCCTCCCAAAGTGCTGGGATTACAGGTGTGAGCCACTGCACCTGGCGACTTCTGTAGGTTTCTAAGCATTCTATCCTTTCTCATTAAGGTATTCTAAAGAACATGTGATTCAGAGGAGTCTGTTAATGCTATGGCTGTGGGAAAATGCTCATTTGGGTGTAATCACTCGAGGATGTCCAAAAAGTCACAATTTGATGGCCTGACCATCTGGCTCTGTTCTGAAGCTGGGAAGCTCCAGAGATGTACACTATTGTGCCCTAATGTAATACGCTTTTCCAGAGTCAGCATGGATGAAGGAGTCCAAGCAAAGCTCGATGGGGGCAGGGCCTGGTCCCCACTCCCCCATTCCCTAGGGAACTTCCCTTCACCTCTACCCTCCTGCCTCTCCCGAGACCCCAGACTAACTTGTGTAATCCCTGCCATCTGAGAGCTGAATAAAAAGACCCCTTATTCAACTTTTTTTTTTTTTTTTTTTTGAGATGAAGTATCACTCTGTTGCCCAGGCTGGAATACAATGGTGCAATCTTAGCTCACTGCAACCTCCACCTCTTGGGTTCAAGCGATTTTCCTGCCTCGGCCTCCTGAGTGACTGGGACTACAATGCGTAAGCTACCATGTCCAGCTAATTTTTGTATTTTTAGTAGAGACAGGCTGTCACTGTTGGCTAGGCTGGTCTCCAACTCCTGACCTCAGATGATCTGCCTGCCTTGGCCTACGAAAGTGCTGAGATTACAGGCATGAGCCACAACACCCAGCCACTTATTCAACCTTGAGTGCCGGGGAAGTCGCCCTTCCTTCACCTCCCAGGACGGCAGACAGCCCCAGCCTTGCTGAGCATCTCCTGCTATTTCATAAGCCATGATTTCATGATCCTACCCCAGGAGTCAGTGTTTTTCCAAAGTACTGACCCTCTTCTCTAGGGCGGAGGCAAGCCTCAGTGGAAGGGCTCAGGGAGGCTTCTGGAATGTGCTGTGCGGCTCCAATCCCTGCCTGCTGCTGGTGCTTGGGCCTGATTTAGTACCTTGCTCCCAGCTGTCACACCACCATGTCAGCCTCTGCATCAATCCCCCAAAGCTCCCATCTCCATCCAAAGCAATGCCTGGTTCTGTTGGCTCTAAAAGGTCCTAACCAGGGCCCTCCAAGAATTTCCTAGGCCAGGGTCTGAGGCCCAGCCCACCAAGCCCAGACAGCTCTGTCATCCCCTTCTAACCTGTTCCATCTTCTAGCCCTGGAGGATTATAAACACCTACCTGTCCCCACTCTACTGCTCTGAATCCTCCTTTCCTCCTAGAACGCTCCCCAGATAGACGCTGAGGGCCCCAGTCCCATCAGTGCTCCTTGGAAGGGCTCACAGGCCTCTCCAGGCTCACACAGGGCATACCTCCAGCAGTGCCTAGACAAGTCTGCTCCACTCCTGTCCTTTAGGCTAACCCTCACCAACCCTTAAGACTCAAAGCAGGCATAATTGCCTCCTAGACATCCGTGTCCTCGCCTTCTTCCCCCAGACAGGTTAGCTGCCCCTTTTCATGGCTCCCAGCTAAACCGTCATCCATCACTGTCCTGACCCTTAGCTCTCCTATATAATTGTTTATGTACCTGTCTCCCTGACAGGCTTGTGAGCAGCTCAAAGACAGAGGCTGTGTCTCATTGTCTCTCTTTTTTTTACTACTGGAAAGCTGTGATTGATTTCTTCTTTTTTTTTGAGATGGAGTTTGCTCTTGTTACCCAGGCTAGAGTACAATGGCGCAATCTCAGCTCATCGCAACCTCCGTCTTCTGGGTTCAGGCAATTCTCCTGCCTCAGCCTCCTGAGTAGCTGGGATTACAGGCACGCGCCACCATGCCCAGCTAATTTTTTGTATTTTTAGTAGAAACAGACCATGTCTCTGTCATCCAGGCTGGAGTGCAGTGGCGTGATCTGGGCTCACTGCAACCTCCACCTCCTGAGTTCAAGTGGTTTTCTTGCCTCAGCCTCCCAAGTAGCAGGGACTATAGGTGTGTGCCAGCACACCTGATTAATTTTTGTTTTATTTATTTTTTTTGAGATGAAGTTTCGCTCCTGTTGCCCAGGCTAGAGTGCAATGGGGCGATCTCGGCTCACTGCAACCTCTGCCTCCGGTTCAAGTGATTCTCCTGTCTCAGCCTCCCGAGTAGCTGAGATTACAGGCATGTGCCACCACGCCTGGCTAATTTTTGTATTTTTAGTAGAGAAAGGGTTTCATTATGTTGGCCAGACTTGTCTCGAACTCCCGACCTCAGGTGATCCACCCACCTTGGCCTCCCAAACTGTTGGGATTACAGGCATGAGCCACTGCACCCAGCCTTAATTTTTGTATTTTTAGTAGACACTGGGTTTTAGCATGTTAACCAGGGTCGGGGGGGGGGTCTCAAACTCCCAACCTCAGATGATCCACGCCTTAGCCTCCCAAAGTGCTGGGATTACAAGCATGAGCCACAGTGCCTAGCCTCTGTGTTTGTTCTTGATTATGCTTTGGTTACAGGTCAGACTGCTTCAGACAGTGAGTTTCCCAAAGCTCAGGACAGAAATTCACCAGATTTGCAAGTAGAGAATCTTCTACCAGCCTGTCTGAAGAGAAGGTGCAGCTCCATCCCAGCAGGTCTGTTTTAAAGGACGAGGTGGCACCTGCTCTCTTTCATACCCTAGCCTAGATCCTGAGGTGCTGAGATCCCCTGAGGCCAGTTGAGGGTGGCTCTAAGGTACGTGCCTGCTCTGATTCACTTCCCACTGGCTCTGACAGTGGAAGGAAAAGCAGACTGGCAGGGGCCAGGGACAAAGGGTTAGAGTGGCAAGCCCAGCCTCACTATAGTCTGGAGCTTCAGAAACCCCTGGGATGCTACCACCAGGCTAGGGAGAGGGGGCCTCATCTGTCTACCTCCTTCTAGGCAGAGGAAATGCCCTGGATATGGGGGAAATGCTGGAAGGATCATGGGGCTTCCAAAAGAATCTTTCCTTCCAGTCTGTGAGTCCCCACACGTCACACCTGCTCTGGCAGCAAGGCAAGCCTCATTGGCTGGCAGATTTCAGGATTCTGCCAGGGTAGAAAGTCTGAGGGCCCTGGCTCCGGAATTTCAGAAGTAGAAACTGGTTAGGGACGCTGCTGGGGTGCGGGCTGGAGGCCTGTGGAGCCATCTCTCAGCTGGTCGCGGCACTTTGTAAATAGGAAGCTTTGGGTTCTCAACCAGACTCTACCAATGCACTCAGCAAATGCAGCATCTCCATTATGTCATATGACAAATATTGACATGCACTTTTTTTTTTGAGACAGTGTCTAGCTCTGTCACCCAGGCTGGAGTGAAGTGGCATGATCTCTGCTCACTGCAATCTCCACCTCCTGGGTTCAAGCAATTCTGACCTCATGATCTACATGCCTCAGCCTCCCAAAGTGCTGGGATTACAGGCATGAGCCACTGTGCCTGGTCCTGCCCAGGAGCTTTACACAGAAAGGAGCTGGCAGCTCTAGTATCTCCAGGGCACTGGGGAGAAGACTCAATGAGGAGGGAAGGACAGCATTTGTGCAAAGCACCATGAAGAGACTGAGCCGCCTGAGAACTCGGAGGCCTCTGCATTCCCCAGATACCAATCGGGAACTCTCCCAGGGTGGCCGGGGAGTTAATCAGCAACAGGTCTCCCCAGGCATTCTGGGCCGACAGACCAGCCCCACCCACAACCGGCCTGGCAGGCCTGGGACCTGGGAGGTAGGGCTGGGCTGACAGAGCTGGTCACGCGCTAGAGCCGGCTCACACATCTGTTAAGTTGTTCAATGGTCAGGAATTTTACAAGCCAGTTAACGTGTTGGTAGCTAGAGATCTGCAAAGCAGAAACTGCAAACGCTACAAATCGTGTCCTTTTCCCCCCTCTCCAGAGAGCCATTTAGCAGCACACCACTGGAAAGAACCCACTAGGACTGAGTCAGATCTGACCCTGGGGCATGACAACGACTGACTGCCGGCAGGGAGAACGGGGTTGCAGGGGAGCTGAGGCTGTAACCCTCCCTCCCTTCTCACAAGGGCTTCTCCCGGACACCCCCACAGTGGGTTCATCAAATGAATGCCTGGTGATGCCAATCCAGCCACCTTTCTGCAATCAGGGAGGCACACCCATGGGGACACTATCACCCAGAAGGTCCCTGAGCCACCACTCAGGCCAGGCCATTGCCCAGGGCCAGATCCTCCTGGGAGCTCCTTTCCCTTTGGGGTCTGGGTGTGTCCCCACACAGCCTTCTCCTCCTCCCCCACCCCCACTTCCCATAAATCTTTTTGCTATTTCCGGCTCCCGGGCACCACCAGCTCCCAGCTCCCCAGAGTGTGGCCACAATTAAGCCAGCCCCATCTGGCCTCCACCAAGAGACCCTCCTGATTCACAGCCCTTCCTGATTCACAGCCCCAGAGGCGCAGCCCAGAGAGGCCAAGCACAGAGAGCCAGGATGGACACCTACCTGGCTGGGGCCCTTCAGGCTCATCACAGTCTAGGGAAATAGAAAGAAATTGCAGCTCTGTGCCAGGATGTGGGGAAAGAGACATCACCCACAGAAGTGGGGAGGGGCAGGCTCCCCCAGCTCTGCCTTGCCCACACAGGCCAAGATGATGTCAGGACAGAGACTCCTTCACACCAGGCACCTCCCAGACCCCAGTCAGGTTCAGAACCTTCAGGGTGACTCTCCTGTGTCGAATTCAGGACCAGGCCAGGCAAAAAACTCTCAGCCTTGCTTCCACAGAGGGCGAGTGAGAGGCCTCCACAGAGCCAAGGCCCTCAACTCAGACCAGGGCAGGCAGCAGGAGTACAAATGCCAAGGAAACACCTTTGACCTTCTGGGCAATCCTCTCTACTGCCCCCTGCCTCTCCGAGCCCAGCAACCCCACGGCTAGATGGGCTTCTTCCAGGGCTGGTGTCTACCTGGCTCTCTTTGCCCACACCAATGCCTCAGAGCGGGGCCCCGCTGACACCCTGCTTATGAATGCCTGGCCTCACCAGCAAGGATGGACGAATGTTAGGGAAAAGACAAGGATCTTAGGATTCTAGTTGCTCCTTCTAAAGCGGGGTCCTAAGGGCAGCAACCACCTCCTCAGCCTGACTCCCCTGCTCCTAGTTTCTTCTGGGTCCCCACTTATGAACAGGAGAGAGGGAGTTCCCTGAGACAGAGATGTAAGCGGGGCTCCACACCCATTCTCAGCAGAGCAGCACATCTGGCAGGAACCTGATGTTCCAGGGAGCCATGTTGCCCCCCACTTCTGGAAAGAGGCTCTGCCCATTCCAGGCTTCCCTGGGGCTACCAACTCCCAAGAAGGACTGGCACTTCCCATCCTCCCCAGTAACTGATGGGGTGGAAAAGTCAACATTAGGGTAGAGGGACGGGAGGGGAATAGAACGAGGGGAGGGGAGGCCCACTTATTCAAGACCAACTGTGCTCTGGCTCCGGCCTAGGCCCTGACATGCATTCATTATTGTAACCCACAAGGAGAAATGAGAGTTCAGAGAGCAGAGCTGGAGACCAAACCCAGGGCTTTCTGACTTCAAAGCCATTAGGCTACGTGGCTCCCCACATGCCCCATGCAAGTGGAGACAACGGGGCCAGAGGTCAGGAGGTGGCTGCAGGTGAGCACATCAAATGGCAATCACCAGTCTGTGGTTTCTTCTTTTTTTTTTTGAGACGGAGTTTTGCTCTTGTTACCCAGGCTGGAGTGCAATGGCGCGATCTCGGCTCACCACAACATCCGCCTCCTGGGTTCAGGCAATTCTCCTGCCTCAGCCTCCTGAGTAGCTGGGATTACAGGCACGTGCCACCATGCCCAGCTAATTTTTTGTATTTTTAGTAGAGACGGGGTTTCACCATGTTGACCAGGATGGTCTCGATCTCTTGACCTCGTGATCCACCCGCCTCGGCCTCCGAAAGTGCTGGGATTACAGGCTTGAGCCACCGCGCCCGGCCGGTTTCTTCTTTTTTATTGGAGATGGAGTCTTGCTCTGTTGCCCAGGCTGGAGTGCAGTGGCGCGATCTCGGCTCACTGCAACCTCCGCCTCCCAGGTTCAAGTGATTCTCCTCCCTCAGCCTCCTGAGTAGCTGGGATTACAGGTGTGTGTCACCACACCCAGCTAATATTTTTGTATTTTTAGTTGAGATGGGGTTTCTCATGTCAGTCAGGCTGGTCTCGAACTCCTGACCTTGTGATCCACCTGCCTCAGCCTCCCAAAGTGCTGGGATTACAGGCATGAGCCACCATGCCCGGTGAGTCTGTGCTTTTAAAGAACAGTGTATGCGCTCAGGAGCTCCAGGCCAGGTGTCAGACTGCAGGGTGGGCCCAGCCTATGTCCCTAGGTTCTTCCCCTGTGGTGTGAGGGGCTGACTTCCAGAAGCCAGGAGCTCTGTGGGTTAAGAAAATAGCGCTGGGTGTGCTCACCTGCCACCTCCACAATCTGGTGCCGGGCGATGTCATAGTATGGGTCATCCCACTTCAGGTGTGTCACAGGTTCTGGGGAGCTGCTTTTGGAGTCATCTGAGGAACACAGCAAGGTCAGGGGACAAGCCAGGGGGCTGGCACCACGCTCTGCCTGAGAGGCATGCTGTCTGGCCCTTCCCCCAGTAAGGCTCATGCTTCTAGCCCAGCCCTGGGACTGGTCTGCCCTGTCCTGCCCTCCTGGCATCTCCCTTCAGCAGGAGGGATGCGTCCCCCTCTAAAGCACCTATAGCTGCCTGAGCCCGGACACAGCCCACCTGACTTGGGGAAGTCAGGCATTTCATCCGAGGGCCAGTTCTTCTCATCGATGGAGGCCAACTTCAGCTGGTTCAGAGCCTCGCTGCTGTCATCCAAGTTCAGGTCGTCCTGCAGCTCTGACAGCGGATCCATGGCCAAGCCCGTCCCCCACAGCCTCACCCTGCAGAACTTGAAGAGAAACCTGGGAGAGAGGAGAACAGGCGGCAGGTCAGTGACCTGCTCTTTTCACCTTCTGCAACCTCTACTATGTGCCCTCCTGCCCCCACTCTTCTTTCTCCTAGGCTCCCTGTCCCTATTCCTCAACACTCCTCATCCCCGCCAAGAGCTCCACGTAGCTCTGGGTTCTCCTGGCCCCACGGCTCAGGCGTGTTGCCAGAAAAGGCAGCTGGGGCAGAGGATGGCACAATTCGGCGCCTCCCTCCAGGTCCTGCAGCTGGAGAGGGAAGAGCCGTGCCAGGTCCTGTGCCGCCTGCCACCCAGCTGGCTCAGTGATGCAGGCCCAGCTGCAAAGGGCACAGGTCCATGCCTCTCTCCTGAGGGGACCTGAAGAGCACAGAAGCCTCCCAGTCTCCAGCAGTTACAGGGGTAGAAATGTTGTAAGAATCTAAAGAACACAGGGATTGGGTCTCCAAACCCATCCCATGCCTGAAAAAAGTCATCTGTGGCCCTGGCCACTGCATCCCTCATTCCTGGCCCAGGGGAGAGGAGGGAGCTGGAGACTACAGGGTCCCAGAAAAAAATGGCTATGACTGGGGGGCCCAGCTGGGTTTGCCCCAGGACAGGAACTAGCAACAGGGGATGGAATCGCCTGACAGTCATCGCAGACAGTCTGCAGGCTCCTGGGGACTTCCAAGCCCACTCTTACTCTGCACTCCTGACATCCTTTTCAAGGTGGAAAGGTCAATTGCCCTAAGGATTGGAGGGCGCAGATGGGAAAGGGGGATGCTCGTGGTGTCTGGAGTGCTGAGATGAGGAGGTGACTGGCGGAAGAGCAGCTCCAGCAGGCATGGGGCAGCGCCGACCACCAAGCCTGGAATCTGGCCAGAAGGCTGCAGCCATATGCAGCCTGGGTGTAGGCACCTCTGCTCTCAGCCCTAACGGGAAGCAACTCCCTCTCCTGCCACAAACTCCCCACATGGGTGAGGGAGGGGGGGTTTCAGTTCAACCTATTCAGTCTAACCCCAGGGAAGAGGCTGCTCCACGTCCAGCTGCATTCCTGGAGTCCAAAACTGACATATATGGTCAGAGAATCAGCAGGGCAGATAAGGAGAGCAGACAAGGCCTGGGGCTGGGCAGGAAGAAGAGGGGGAGAGCTGCCATCCCAGAGCCACAGACTCCAGGCTCTGAGGCCACTTGACAGCCTCCCGCACACATCACATCACAGCCAAGGGCCCTGGCTGGTGAGCCCTCTCCCTGTGCCTAGCAACAGGTACCTTATCACCAGGGCAACCACACAGATTCAGTGGTAATGCTGTTTCATGCTCCCAAGTCAAAGCCAACCAGCCAAAACAGCCAAAAAACCCTCTTCTTCCTCTCCCTTGTCCTGTTCCCTAGCCTCATCCACTACCACTGCTTATCATCAAAATATAATCCCTTCCAAAGAACACAGAGAAGGATGATCCCTCACAGTAGGAATGCGTTTCTCTCAGTGATGCCACGCCCAGCTCCCTCACTCCCCTTCAGCCTTCAATCCTCCAATATCTACATGCTCCTCTGTACCATCCAACCAGAAGGCTATGGCAGCTGCCTTCCATAGTGACCTCCAGCAGGGTAATAAAGACAGAATCCAGCTCAAAGCAACCCCCTCTTGGCCAGAGCCTTCTCTCCATCCCTTCTGTTCAGCCTGTCACTGCCCAGGAAACAGGGGCTCCTTCAGCCCCACCCACAGCTATCCCAGAGATGCCTTTCTGCACACAGTAGGTGCTCAATGGCATGCAATGATGAGGCAGTATGGAGAGCTAGATTACCATCTTGCCTAAGCCAGTGCGCTGCAAAGATGCTGAGCAAGTCCTTTTCCTCCTTGGGCCTAAATTTCCTCCTTTGTAGAGGCAACGGCGCCCTCCCAGAAATATAATTCTCCAGTGCTCAGAAATACTTTGTGCTGCAGTGAACAGCGGAATTAGAAGGGACAGATGGGGCCAGGCGAGGTGGCTCACACCTGTAATCGCAGCACTTTGGGAGGCCGAGTCGGTGGATCACCTGAGGTCAGGAGTTCGAGACCAGCCTGGCCAACATGGTGAAACCCCGTCTCTACTAAAAAAAAAAAAAAAAAAAAAAAAAAAAGTTAGGCATAGTGGTGAGTGCCTGTAATCCCAGCTACTTAGGAGGCTGAGGCAGGACAATCGCTTGAACCTGGGAGGTAGAGATCACACTACTTCACTCCAGCCTGGGCAACAGAGTGAGACTCTGTCTCAAAAAAAAAAAAAAAAAGGCCGGGCGCGGTGGCTCAAGCCTGTAATCCCAGCACTTTGGGAGGCTGAGGCGGGTGGATCACAAGGTCGAGAGATCGAGACCAACCTGGTCAACAAGGTGAAACCCCGTCTCTACTAAAAATACAAAAAATTAGCTGGGCATGGTGGCACGTGCCTGTAATCCCAGCTACTCAAGAGGCTGAGGCAGGAGAATTGCGTGAACCCAGGAGGCGGAGGTTGCGGTGAGCCGAGATCGCGCCATTGCACTCCAGCCTGGGTAACAAGAGCGAAACTCCGTCTCAAAAAAAAAAAAAAAAAAAAAAAAAGGAGGAGCAGCTGGGAGCAGGGGTAGGTGTGAGGGAGGGAGAAGGACACCATCTAAAAGGGAGCTGAACTTGAACTCCACCTCTTTTCCAGTAACTGCTCTTCTACTCTGTCAGTTCTTCCAGATGTGACCTCCCTCAATGCCCCACATCACCTCCTTTCCCAGCATAACTAAGCCCAGTTGTTCCCATCTCCCAGCCAGACTGGCCCCTCCCATCACCCTCCAACCCACAGCTGTTACCTTCTCTGAGCCCGGAAGTTGAACTCCCATTCAGTGGGAGGGTGAGGAAGCTAGCACAGGGAAATTCTAACATCAAGTAGTAGAAATGAAGTATCCTGCCTGTTTAAGACACCAGCCACCCACAAGTCTGCTCTAATCTGTGCAAAATACACCCAACTCTGAGATTAATTTTTCCATTCTCAGCAGGTAAACCGTTACAAAAATCTTTTTATGTTTTTGAGACAGAGTCTTGCTCTGTTGCCCAGGCAATAGAGCAAGACTCTATTAGTGGTGCAATCTCGGCTCATTGCAATATCCGCCTCCCGGGTTTAAGTGATTCTCCTGCTTTAGCCTCCCTAGTAGCTGGGATTACAGGCACCTGCCACCACATCTGGCTAATTTTTGTATTTTTAGTAGAGACGGGGTTTCACCATGTTGGCCAGCTGGTCTTGAACTCCTGACCTCTGGTGATCTGCCCGCCTTGGCCTTCCAAAGTGCTGGGATTACAGGCGGGAGCCGCACTGCCCAGCCTGTTACAAAAATCTTTTTTTTTTTTGAGATGGAATTTCGCACTTGTTACCCAGGCTGGAGTGCAATGGCGCGATCTTGGCTCACTGCAACCTCCGTCTCCTGGGTTCAGGCAATTCTCCTGCCTCAGCCTCCCAAGTAGCTGGGATTACAGGCACGCACCACCATGTCCAGCTAATTTTTTAATATTTTTTAGTAGAGACGGGGTTTCACCATGTTGACCAGGATGGTCTCGATCTCTTGACCTTGTGATCTACCTGCCTCGGCCTCCCAAAGTGCTGGGATTACAGGCGTAAGCCACCGCACCCGGCCTACAAAAATCTTAAGGATCACTTTAGGCAATCGCTTTTTGGAAGCTGTACACTTTTCTGAAACTGGTAACATCTGCGGACGTTTTCCCTAAGAAAAGTTAGGGCCGGGGGCGGTGGCTCAAGCCTGTAATCCCAGCACTTTGGGAGGCTGAGGCGGGTGGATCACGAGGTCGAGAGATCGAGACCATCCTGGTCAACACGGTGAAACCCTGTCTCTACTAAAAATACAAAAAATTAGCTGGGCATGGTGGCACGTGCCTGTAATCCCAGCTACTCAGGAGGCTGAGGCAGGAGAATTGCCTGAGCCCAGGAGGCGGAGGTTGCGGTGAGCCGAGATCGTGCCATTGCACTCCAGCCTGGGTAACAAAAGCGAAACTCCGTCTCAAAAAAAAAAAAAAAAGAAAAGAAAAGTTAGTAGATGCATGCAATTTTAAGAGGTTCATACACCTTCTGAGAATCACCATTTAAGAACTTCTGGCAGGCCGGGCGCGGTGGCTCAAGCCTGTAATCCCAGCACTTTGGGAGGCCAAGGCGGGTGGATCACGAGGTCAAGAGATCAAGACCATCCTGGTCAACATGGTGAAACCCCGTCTCTACTAAAAATACAATAAATTAGCTGGGCATGGTGGTTCGTGCCTGTAATCCCAGCTACTCAGGAGGCTGAGGCAGGAGAATTGCCTGAACCCAGGAGGCGGAGGTTGTAGTGAGCCGAGATCGCCATGGCACTCCAGCCTGGGTAACAAGAGCCAAACTCCATCTCAAAAAAAAAAAAAGAACTTCTGGCCCATTCAGAATAACACCTGATACATAGTAGATGCTGTCGTTTGTTGAATAACTGAACCAATTAATTCATCTCCTAAGTGAAGAAGGGAACACATACTTGTTGAGGGCCTATACAGGACTGTGAACTGGGGACATAAACTCAACCTCACAATAGCACTGATGAAGGCATGTTCTACTAAGCCCATTTTACAGGGAGGAAAGTGAGGACCAGAAAAAAAAAAATAAGCCAATTGTTGAGGGTCATACAACCAGCAGAGGCAGGGCTTTAATCCTTGTCTGTCTCTAGTGGTCTCTTGGCGAGGATCAGCATCTAAACAATTACCTAAGTGGCTGTCTTTCATGCAATTCTCAAGGTTCAGAGAGGTGCCACAAAAGAGCAAACTAAAGCCTCTCCCCTAATCTTCTCTTTTACACAGAACATAGATAGCAACTTAAAATCATATTATCGTGGGGCATGATGGCTCACACCTGTAATCCCAGCACTTTGGGAGGCTGAGGCAGGTGGATCACGAGGTCAGGAGTTCGAGAGCAGCCTGGCCAATATGGTGAAACCCCATCTCTACTAAAACAAAAATGAGCCAGGTGTGGTGGCACGCCCCTGTAGTCCCAGCTACTAGGGAGGCTGAGGCAGAAGAATCACTGGAATCTGGGAGGCAGAGGTTGCAGTGAGCCAAGATCATGCCACTGCACTTCAGCCTGGGCAATAGAGGGAGACTCCAGCTAAAAAAAAAAAAAAATCAGCCGAGCGCGGTGGCTCAAGCCTGTAATCCCAGCCCTTTGGGAGGCCGAGGCAGGTGGATCAGGAGGTCGAGAGATCCAGACCATCCTGGCCAACATGGTGAAACCCCGTCTCTACTAAAAACACAAAAAATTAGCTGGGCATGGTGGTGCGTGCCTGTAATCCCAGCTACTCAGGAGGTTGAGGCAGGAGAATTGCTTGAACCCAGGGGGCGGAGGTTGCGGTGAGCTGAGATCGCGCCATTGCACTCCAGCCTGGGTAACGAGAGCGAAACTCCGTCTCAAAAAAAAAAAAAAAAAAAAAGGCCGGGCGCGGTGGCTCAAGCCTGTAATCCCAGCACTTTGGGAGGCCGAGGCGGGTGGATCACGAGGTCGAGAGATCGAGACCATCCTGGTCAACATGGTGAAACCCCAGCTCTACTAAAAATACAAAAAATTAGCTGGGCATGGTGGCGCGTGCCTGTAATCCCAGCTACTCAGGAGGCTGAGGCAGGAGAATTGCTTGAACCCAGGAGGCGGAGGTTGCGGTGAGCCGAGATCGCGCCATTGCACTCCAGCCTGGGTAACAAGAGCGAAACTCCGTCTCAAAAAAAAAAAAAAAAAAAAAAAAAAAAAAATCAAAAGAAGCCGGGCACGGTGGTTCACGCCAGTAATCCCAGAACTTTGGGAGGCTGAGGCAGGTGGATCACGAGGTAAGGAGATCGAGACCACCCTGGCTAACACGGTGAAACCTCGTATCTACTAAAACTACAAAAAATTAGCCGGGTATAGTGGCACGTGCCTGTAATGTCAGCTACTCAGAAGGCTGAGGCAGGAGAGTCACTTGAACCTGGGAGGCAGAGGTTGCAGTGAACAAAGATCACGCCACCGAGACTACATCTCAAAAAAAGAAAAAGAAAAAAAAAGAAAAGAAAATCATATTCTCAGTGTTGGAATCAGCCTTCTAGTTGCAGCTCCATAATCACAAAAACCGAAATCCACCACAATACAACAGCAATTACAACTCTCAACTACAATTATGTTTGCACAGAGCTTCACGGTTTACAAAGCCCATGTTGCGTTTTCCAATTATCCCATTTCACAGTTTAAGAAGTTGAACTAAAATCGTGGCCTAATAGGTGGCAGGGAGGAATACTTCCCTCAAATTTCTTGTTCTTAGTGCTTTGCCAGATCAAATCTGGGAGTTTTCCCCCTCCCTCCGGCTTGCTGGACGACAGCGATCTGGCCTGGACTTTCCTCTGGGGATTACTTTCTCCAGGAAGAAGGCAGCGAAAACGGTAAAGTCTTCTTATTGCAGGCGCCAAAATGGGGCAGAAACCCTGCAAGAAGGCCGGGCCTCTGAGCCCAATTCCACCCCTGTCCCCCTCCTCGGATCTGCTCGGGTCCTCCCCATCCGGACCCCATCCCTTCGGACGACCTGGCCAGCTCCTTTCCTTTCCCCCTCCCCACCCGGGGAGACCCCGCGGCCAGCAGCTCACCGCACTCGGGCACTGCTCCCTCTGCCACGCCTGTCAAAGCTCGGCAAACATCCGGCTCCGAGGTGGAACGGGAACCGCCCCCTCCCGCTCTCCTCGGTCCCCAACCACTTCCGCCACACCTCCAACCCACTTCCGGCCCCAAACAGGGCCTTTCCAGGAGCCCCGCCCACTTCCTGCACTTGCCCGTTCTAAAGCCCACCTCGGGGATGTAACAGCATAACAGTCCGACTCGTCACACCCAAAAAGAGGTGGCTGGAATAATTAGTTCCGCTTTACTAGACACTCGAATCCCTGGTGGACCTCCGGAATCCTAGGTTCGTACTTCTCTCGGACGGAATTCCGCCTCCCCAGTACTCCCAAATTCCCAGTCCTTTGCACCAATGAGGTCTGACTCTGAGACTTCTTTCCTGAGAAATTTGGAAGTCCATGACTGTTTCCTGGAGGAGCTGAGAAGAGGACGTTCACTTCCGGCGGAGGAGGCTTTCTGACCCGGAATGGAGGAGGCGGAGGAGCTGCTCTTGGAGGGGAAGAAGGAGCTGCAGCTCGGTGAGTGACCTGCGATGTCTGCGACACTCAGCCCTGGCCCAGATAGATCTGACATTCTAAGGTCAACTCTCTCCCCAGTCTCCTCTCCTCCCGATCCCAGGATCCTCTGGTGCCCTCAGAGTCGCTGGGGCCTTCTGAAGAGCCCTTGAGCCCCCTCAAACCTTTCAGGGCCCCCCTTAGAGCCCTCACCCATCCCTCGGGCTCCGCAGGCCCACCTGGACCTGCGGTTTACTCCCACACGTTTCTCCACCCCACGCCTTCCTGGGCGGCTCCCTCACCGTCTTCCCTTTTCCCTGCAGCCCCCGAGCCGCGCTTGGGCCTGGACTTAGGATGGAACTCCTCCGGAGAAGGCTGTGCGCCGAGCTTCAAGGACGTCCCACCCAGGCCGAGCCAAGCCCTCTTCGCTTTAAAGAGCCTCCCCCGGGGCTTGGCCCTTGGCCCCTCACGCGCCAAGGAACAGCGCTTGGGGGTCTGGTGTGTCGGGGAGCCCCTGCAGCCCGGCCTGCTCTGGGGACCGCTGGAAGAGGAGTCTGTCTCCGAGGAGAAGGGCAAGGGACTCAAGCCACGGCCGGAGGAGGTATTGAAATATATACAGCGGCTGCTCTCCGCCATTGAAAATGTAGGGAGGTTTGGACATTTCTAAACAGCTCTTCAGTTCGAAGAAAGATGGTCTTGTCCCTTCTCTCCAGACTGTCTCCTCCTCTCAGCAGTAGTAGTTAAGGAATCGAGATTTGAAAAGTTGTTGAAAGCTGGGTTCGTATAGTGTCAGCAGTGACGACGGTCAAGATCTAAGGTTTTTGGAATTAAGAAAGCATGGAGTCAAATTCCAGCCTTGTCACCTAACTCGTTAAATTATGTGCCTCATTTAAGTCAACTGTGAAACAAAGCAATGGCTCTCTTGGGATTATATAGAGGCCCTGATTAAATAGTGCAGGTAAAGGGTTTCACCTGCACAATAAGTACCGTTTTATTTATTTTTTTTTTTCTTAGACAGTCTTGCTTTTTTGCCCAGGCTGAAGTGCAGTGGCACGATTTCACCTTACTGCAACCTTCATCTTCCAGGTTCAAGTGATTTTCATGCCTCAGCCTACCGAGTAGTTTGAGCTTACAGGTGTCTGCCACCACACCCAGCTAATTTTTGTATTTTTAGTAGAGACAGGGTTTCACCATGTTGGTCAGGCAGGTCTCAAACTCCTGGCCTCAAGTAACCCACCTGCCTGGACCTCTGAAAGTGCTGGGATTACAGGTGTGAGCCACCGTGCCTGGCCCAATAAGTACCATTTTGAAAAGCTGGTGTTCCTTATTAGTTTTTCTGTTTAATACTCACTGGAAGACAGTAATGTGTTCAGTTTAGTAATTCTGCACACCCTTGGGAGGGAGGTAAGGAGACAGACTTTTTGGTCTTTATTGAATGAAGAATCAGACAGCACTGTCCTGTTAAAGGTAGAACCAGAGGCTTCTAACCTTCCAGGAGTTTCATCTTAAATTTGTTCCAGGAAGGTTTCGTCTGTTTGTTTTTTTCCATCTACACGACCCCCTCAAACACATTTGAGAAGGACTTTTGTTGGTTTATTTCAGAACCTGTCATTAGGCCCATGGGGAGACGTGCATGCCTGTGAGCAGAGTTCTGGCTGGACTAGGTAAGTTAGAGGATAGTGTGTCATGAATACTTGTTCCTTCGAAGCTTTCTGTTGTGGCTTGGGTTGGAACCCAGTGCTGACTGTCATTCCCTACCCAGTGTTCTTTTGTAGTGAATGTTCCAAAGGCATGCATCCTTTAGGACCCAGACTGCCTGGGGACTGGGGCTTTCAGGGAAGACCACTTGACTAGTGAGCATCTCCTAGGTGGCTCTTACTTTGCTTTGCAGCTTGGTACAGCAGGGCAGGCTGGAGAGTGAGGGAAATGTGGCCCCAGTGTGGATCAGCGAGCAGCTCCATCTGCAGGTGTACCAGGTGGTGCTGCCTGGCTTTGAGCTGCTGCTGTGGCCCCGGCCTTCCTCTGAGGACCCAAGTCTCGTTCAGCCTGGCCTGGACAGAGAGGCAGCTGTAGCAGTGGTGACAGAAGTGGAGTCTGTGGTACAGCAAGAAGTGGCCTCCCCCGGGGAGGATACAGCAGAACCTTGCACAGGTATGTGTCAAATAAATGCCAGTTCCCCAGCAATTTCCCCACCAAAACAACCTGTTGATAAGACAAAGCAGAGTTCATGACTCATTGCGGTAAGGAAGGACGCTACAGAGTCTTTTTTTTTTTTTTTTTTTAAGACGGAGTCTCACTTTGTTGCCCAGGCTGGGATACAGTGACGCTGTCTCAGCTCACTGCAACCCGCCTCCCAGGTTCAAGCGATTCTCCTACCTCAGCCTCCTGCATAGCTGGGATTACAGGTGCACGCCACCACACCTGGCTAATTTTGGTATTTTTAGTAGAGATGGGGTTTCACCAGGGTGGCCAGGCTGGTCTTGAACTCCTGACCTTGTGATCCACACACCTCGGCCTCCCAAAGTGCTGGGATTACAGGCTTGAGCCACCGCGCCTGGCCCTTAGTAACTTTTCAAAATCTGATTTAAGGTGGATCGTTCAACATGGGATAGGAGGGTGGGCATTGATTAGTATTGGGTAAGGATTATGACTGAATAGCTTAGGGTTGGTAGATACAGCAAGGCTAGAATTTTCAGGCAAGGCACAGTCTTGGACTATAAATTGTCATTCAGTGCTTTCTGTCGAAGAGCGATGGGTCTGTTCTTTGGAATAACAATACAGGTGTTTGCAACTTTCATCTTCCTAAGAGCTTCCTGGAAGAGTAAGGAAGAGAGTAAGCTTCATACGTACAGGGTTTTCAGCCTCACGTGTTTCTTCTCTCCGGTGTGGGGGTTCTTTTATTTTACAGATGAGCTAGGGTGGGAAGGGGGGGTCTTTCTTTTTTTTTGAGACTGAGTCTCGCTGTTACCAGCCTGGGCCAGAATGCAGTGGTACAATCTCAGCTCACTGCAACCTCCACCTCCCAGGTTCCAGCAATTCTCCTGCCTCAGCCTCTAGAGTAGCTGAGATTACAGGCACCTGCCACCACTCCTGGCTTTTTTTGTATTTTTAATAGAGATGGGATTTCACCATGTTGGCCAGGCTGGTCTTGAACTTCTGACCTCAGGGGATCCACTCACCTTGGCCTCCCAAAGTGCTGGGATTATAGGAATGAGCCACCACCCCTGGCCTTTTTTTGAGATGAAGTTTCATTCTTGTTGCCCAGGCTGGAGGGCAATGACATAGTCTCGGTTTACTGCAGCCTTCCCCTCCTGGGTTCAAGCGATTCTCCTGCCTCAGCCTTCCAAGTAGCTGGGACTACAGGTGTGCACCACTATGCCCGGCTAATTTTTTTTTGTATTTTTTTTTGTTTTTTGTTTTTTGTTTTTTGTTTTGAGATGGAGTTTCGCTCTTGTTACCCAGGCTGGAGTGCAATGGCACGATCTCGGCTCACCGCAACCTCCGCCTCCTGAGTTCAGGCAATTCTCCTGCCTCAGCCTCCTGAGTAGCTGGGATTATAGGCACGCGCCACCATGCCCAGCTAATTTTTTGTATTTTTAGTAGAGACGGGGTTTCACCGTGTTGACCAGGATGGTCTCGATCTGTTGACCTCGTGATCCACCCGCCTCGGCCTCCCAAAGTGCTGGGATTACAGGCTTGAGCCACCGCGCCCGGCTTTTGTATTTTTAGTAGAGACAGGGTTTTACCATGTTAGCCAGGCTGGTCTTGAACTCCTGACCTCAAGTGATCTGCCTGTCTTGGCCTCCCAAAGTGCTTGGATTACAGGCATGAGCCACCATGCCTGGCCGGAAGGGGGTCTTGAATCACATCCTAAATATGTATCTCCAGAGGGTGAACAAAGGGATCCTTCATCTGGGATGGCCTTACTCTAGTGATGATCCAGGTGGCCGGGGCACCACGGCTCAGGAGTGTTTCTCCAGGAGGCACCTGTGGCTGGACAGGATGATAAATGGAGTAGGCACTCCATGCTTTAGGGAAGAGATTGGTATCATTGCTCCTTCTGAGGCTCAGGGACTGGGTGGGAGAAAACATCTGTTCCTGTAATTCTCTGGTAACACCACCTGCGCTGAAGCTCCCTAACCCCAGCACCCCATCCTTGCCTTGCAGATCCTGGTTCACAGTCACCCCCTGGCAACCAAGCAGAGAGTGTGGTGAGCCCTGGACTTCAATTCCCCACCCAGGACCAACTTTCCAAGGATAGCCAGCCATTTGGCCCCTTGATTCAGGATGGTAATGTGGATGAGGAATACCCACCCCAGGCACAGATTCCACCTGAACTTCAGAGCAACTCGGCTACCCAGCAGGACCCAGATGGCAGTGAAGCCAGTTTCTCATCTGCCAGGGGCACCCAGCTGCATGCCTACCTAGCCAAGAAGTTACACAGCCCCAGTGATCAGTGCCCACCCAGAGCAAAGACCCCAGAGCCTGGAGCCCAGCAGTCTGGCTTCCCTGCACTCTCTCGGAGCCCTCGTTGCCCAGCAGAAAGCTTCCCAAAGCAAGGACGACGGTACCGGTGTGGAGAGTGTGGCAAGGCATT